ACACCATCAGCGTGGGAGAGAACGCGTTAGATGTGGCTCCCACCCAGCCATGCTGGCCCAACACACCAGGAGACAGTGTCTCTGAAGAACCAGGTTAGTCAGGTGGCCGATGGCCAGGAGTGGGACTATGGGACCCACAGAGCCTGGGAGGTAGGCGGGAGGTGGGGCTGGCTGCGAGTGAAGGTCCCCTCAGGACTCCTTGTTTGTCAGTTAGGACCTGAGCTGCTGTTGGGGGGACATGGGGAGGGGCTGCCTGAGCCAGGGCCAGCTCTGCTCCGTCCGCTCCGCAGGCGCTCAGCCCAGACACTCCCATGTCCTCTTGTGTCCACACAGGCCCTGGGAGGAATGGGGACACTGAGGAGCTCTCTCCAAATAGGCGTCTGAACTCACAGGTGAGGTGGATGCAGCCTAGGGGGTCACACGGCACGCAGGGAGGGCTCTGTGCCTCTAGGTTATCATGTGGGCAGGTCCCACGTGCGATTTTCCTTTTGGCACAAGGTGGGCGAGTGGGGGCAGCATGATGTGGGGAGGTGGCTCTCAGGCTGGTGTTTTGTTCAGGCTGGTGTTTTGTTAGGAAGACGCAGCTGCCCAGAGCAGCCGAGGACCCGGTGAGGAGGAGGCGGAGGCCTGGGACGGGGAGCAGGCCTACCTGGCAGGCCTGGCAGGGCAGTACCACCTGGAGCAGTACCCGGACAGTTACGAGTCCATGTGTGAGTGCAGTGTCGCTGCGGGCGGGGGCAGAGCCAGAGCCCTGGGCGGGCAGGTTCCTAGCACGCTCTCCATCTCCCACAGCTGAGCCACCCATCGCTCACCTTCTGCGCCCCATGCTTCCCCGGGCCTTTGCCTTCCCCGTCGACCCCCAGGCCCAGTCCGCCGCAGACGAGACCGCTGTGCAGCTGAGTGAGTTGCTGACGCTGCCCGTGCTCATGAAGCGCTCCATCACAGCGCCACTGGCCGCCCAGTGAGTGCCCTCACCCCAGCCAGCCTGCCTGCCCAGCCTGCCCCAGCAGCACCCTGACTCCAGCTCCCTCCTGTCAGCATCTCCTTGGTGAACAAGGCTGCCGTTGACTACTTCTTCGTGGAGCTGCACCTGGAGGCACACTATGAGGCGCTGCGGCACTTCCTGCTGATGGAGGACGGCGAGTTCGCCCAGTCCCTCAGCGACCTGCTCTTTGAGAAGGTGACCTCCGGACACGGAGCTGGGGTGGGGCCGGTGGTAGAGGGGAGGCCATGGGGAGGGGGAGACTAGCTGCAGGGCCTCAGCCTCCCTGCCGCTCTGGCACAGCCCCGTGAGGCGCTGGTGCATGGCCAGGGACGTGCCTGGGGCTCCTGGGGACACTGGTCCCTTTTCTGCCCAGCTTGGGGCCGGGCAGACACCTGGGGAGCTGCTCAACCCGCTGGTGCTGAACTCCGTGCTGAGCAAGGCCCTGCAGTGCAGCCTGCATGGGGATACCCCACACGCCTCCAACCTCTCCCTCGCCCTCAAGTACCTTCCCGAGGTGTTTGCCCCCAATGCCCCAGATGTGCTGAGCTGCCTGGAGCTCAGGTACAAGGTGAGCAGCAGCCCTGGCCATGGGGATGGGGCAGGGGCCTGCCCATGGGACGCCTGCTGAGTGGGGGCTCCTGGCAGGTGGACTGGCCCCTCAACATCGTCATCACCGAGGGCTGCCTGAGCAAGTACAGTGGCGTCTTTTCCTTCCTGCTGCAGCTGAAGCTCATGATGTGGGCACTCAAGGACATCTGCTTCCACCTCAAGCGCACAGGTGAGGCCTCGCTGGACCCCGGTGCCCCCGGCTTGAGGCTGTGCTCACCTCTGCCCTCTCCTCTCTGCCAGCCCTGCTGAGCCACATGGCCAGCTCCGTGCAGTTCCGCCAGCTGCAGCTGTTCAAGCACGAGATGCAGCACTTTGTGAGGGTCATCCAGGGCTACATCGCCAACCAGATCCTGCACGTCACCTGGTGCGAGTTCAGGGCCAGGCTGGCCACCGTGGGCGACCTGGAGGAGATCCAACGTGCGCACGCGGAGTACCTGCACAAGGCCGTCTTTAGGTGAGGCCTGGGTACTGCTGCATCCCTTGCCCTGTGGTTGCAGCTGAGCCCACCCAGCAGCACTGCTTCCCCCCAGGGGCCTGCTCACGGAGAAGGCGGCGCCCGTCATGAACATCATCCACAGTATCTTCAGCCTCGTGCTCAAGTTCCGCAGCCAGCTCATCTCCCAGGCCTGGGTCCCTGCTGGGGGCCCGCGGGGTGCAGAACACCCCAACTTTGCACTCATGCAGCAGTCCTACAACACCTTCAAGTACTACTCCCACTTTCTCTTCAAAGGTGAGGCCCACCCCAGCTGGGAGGGCAAGGCGGGGTTCACACCGTGGGCAGAGGCTTGAGTGGCTTGCTGATCCCCAGTGGTGACCAAGCTGGTGAACCGCGGCTACCAGCCTCACCTGGAGGACTTCCTGCTGCGCATCAACTTCAACTACTACTACCAGGATGCCTGAGGCTGCTCTGCGGGGGACATGCGCAATAAAAAGGTGTCCTCAGACCCTGTCTGTGTCTCTCTCTCCCAGGCGGGGGGAATGACCACGGAGACGGGCCTGAGGGAGATGCTGGTTTATTTAGCAGCCTGGGTCCAGCCCCCAGGGGCCAGGTGGGTGGTGGAGCTGTCCTGCTGAGCCAGCGTCAGACAGAGACAGGTCAGGTCCTGACTGGATGTCTCTGCCTTCATGGAAAGACGGGTGTGCGTGGGCCAAGGCAGAAGTCCCCAGCACAGAGGGCATGGCCCGGCACCGTCTTGGCCACTCAGCAACACACGGGGGCCTCGGGAAACTCCAAGGGTGTGGAGCATGCCGAGGCCATTACGATGATCACGTCACACACAGTTCTGCTGCCCAGAGCGGAGGCTTGCTGCTGTAGGAACGCTGCCCGCCAGTCGGCTCCGTGGCCTCAGGCTCTGTGGCGGCCCCTGCCTCGCAGTGGTAAGGGGTCTCCAGTAGCTTCAGTACCCGCTGAACCTGGAGGAGTGTGAGGGTGAGAGGAGTCGAAGCCATGCCCTCCTCCCGCGGACCACAGGGTTAGTCATGTGCTTGCCTCTGAGAAGTCCCCGCGCTCGGCAGCCTCGATGGCGTTCTGCGCGATGTAGTTTCTCAGCACATACTTGGGGTTGCTGGCACGCATCACACGCACACGCTCGGCCTGCCAGGCAGCGGCGTCTCCGGCGCCCTCCAGGTCCTTGTCCAGCCGGGCTCTGGAATTATATCCGGGCTCTAGAATCACAGCCGGGCTGGATCTTCCCAGCATGACCGCGGACGCAGAGCTCACCTGTACGCCTGGAGCCAGGTGGCCCAGTGGTCCTGGTTCCTGCTCTGCAGCTCGGCCGCGCTCAGCTGTTCCAGCTGAGACTGCTGCTCCACGCGCTCCAGCTCCCTGGCGATGCCTGCCCGGGTGCCCATGAGCGCGAACAGCTGCGGGTTTGACTGTGCCAGCATCAACATCATGGACAGCTGCCTGCAGAGGCAACCCCCGACTTGTCCTGCCCTGTAGGCAGGTGTTCCTTCCGCCCCACCCTTGAGTCCCACTGGCAAGGATGGACCCGGGTGGGCACACACCAGCCACGCCCATGCTCTGCTGCCCAGCTTCCTGCTGGAGAGTCTCTGCCTCCAGAGTTCAATGCTTGTGGGACAGGCACTGCTATTAGCACTTCCCTTATTTCCAGAAGGGTCCAGATGGACAGGGGGCTTCACGTCAGCAGGGCCTGCTGGCCAGTGCTCCCAGCCAGCCCCACTAGTCTTGTATTTTAAGTTAAAAGCAACAGCCGGTGTGGTGGCTCATGCCTGTAATCCCAGCACTTTGGGAAGTCAAGGCAGGCAGATGACCTGTGGTCAGAAGTTCAAGAACAGCCTGACCAACATGGAAAAATCCCATTTCTACTACAAATATAAAATTAGCTGGGCATGGTGGCGAATGCCTGTAATCCTAGCTACTTGAGGCAGGAGAACTGATTGAACCCAGAGGCAGAGGTTGCAGTGAGCCAAGATAGTGCCATTGCACTCCAGCCTGGGAAACGAGTGAAATTCCTCAAAAAAAAAAAGCAACACTACTTGGGCAGGACTTCCCTTTGGAAGATGGTGCGGTTTCGAAAGGCTGGCCTCTGAACCTGTCCTCTCTGGCAAGTCAGAGGCTTTCTCTGACGCTCACCCACAGCATAGACCACTGTCCTCCCCCCACACCTGTGTTGGCATCGTCACCCTCTCCTCTGTGACCAATGGGCCCCAGCACCTCAGAGACCCTGACTGCCCTGGGAGCAGAGCTGCCATTCAGCTTCCCCTCTGGCCCCGTTTCTGATTGTGTTTCCCTTTCTGGAAACAAATCCAAGGAGGTAGGAACCAGGTACCCACCGGGGATCCATCTGGGGCCGGAAGGCTTGCCTCAGCTCCTCCAGGGAAGCACACTGCTCCATCAGCCTGGCCAGGAACTCCGCCAGGCCCGGTGACTCCGGATCCACCAGGAAGGAGCTCAGCAAGTAGAAGGTGTTTGTGAAGTCAGCACCTGGAACACAGGCTGCTCAGAGAGCCGGAAGCAGAAGGCCCAGGGTCCTCATCCTGGTGTCACTCGGACCCACACACTGGCACAGGTGCCACACAGACCCGCCCTCCTCCCCCCACATCCCCTGGGCACAGGTGCCACACCGACACATTGCCCCTGGCACAGGTGCCGCAGACACACCCTCCTCCCCACCCCAGCACAGGTGCCACACAGACACACTGCCTCTGGGCACAGGTGCTGCATGAGCTCTGCTCAGCATTGGATCCTGGGACTCCTGAGCCCTCCACAGCCCACTCCTCAGCCTCTACCCATCCACTGCCCAGGAAGGCTGCCACTCTGACCCTGCAAGCCACCTTGTAACGTGAGCTAATACTGGGAAGGCATGGGGGCTGCCCTGATCAGGGAAACATTGTCATGTGTAACCACAGTAACCCTTAGGACAACATCTAAAAACACAACAGAAAATGAGACGGGAATCAAAGCAGTGTACTGTGACAGAGTCCAGTACACACGAAGGAGGCAGCGATGGGGAGCGCAAGGGACCAAAAACATGGTGGAAGTTGTTCCTGATCAGTAATAACCCTCCAACAAGAAGCAGATAGACAAAATGGGTGAAAAGACCATTTCCATGCTGTCTACACGATCTGCAGGACGTTCAAAGTCACGAACAGGCTGGAAGTGAAAGGGTGAAGAAACCCAGGCAGAGTGACCTGAAGAGAGGCGAGGCGGCTACACTCACATCAGGTAAGTTTTCTTTTCTTTTTTGAGACATAGTCTTGCTCTGCCGCCCAGGCTGGAGTGCAGTGGTATGATCTTGGCTCACTGCAACCTCCAACTCCCGGGTTCCAGCGATTCTCCTGCCTCAGCCTCCCAAGAGGCTGGGATTACAGGTGCCACCACTGCCATGCCCAGCTAATTTTTGTATTTGTAGTAGAGATGGGATTTCACCATATTGGCTAGGCCGGTCTCGAACTCCTGACCTCAGGTGATCCGCCCACCTCAGCCTCCCAAAGTGCTGGAATTACAGGCATGAGCCACCGTGCCCAGCCAGATAAGATTTTAAATAAAAAACTGTCACAAGGGCCGGTAAAGGTAGCTCACCCCTGCAATCGCAGCTACTTGGGAGGTTGAGGTGGGAGGATCACTAGAGCCCAGGAGGCGGAGGGTGCAGTGAGCTGTGCCCGTGACCAGGAGGCTCAGGGTGCAGTGAGCCGTGCCCGTGCCCAGGAGGCTCAGGGTCCAGTGAGCCGTGACCGTGCCCAGGAGGCAGAGGGTGCAGTGAGCCGTGCCCGTGCCCAGGAGGCAGAGGGTACAGTGAGCCGTGCCTGTGCCCAGGAGGCAGAGGGTGCAGTGAGCCGTGCCCGTGCCCAGGAGGCTCAGGGTGCAGTGAGCCATGCCCGTGCCCAGGAGGCTCAGGGTGCAGTGAGCCGTGCCCGTGCCCAGGAGGCTCAGGGTGCAGTGAGCTGTGACCGTGCCCAGGAGGCAGAGGGTGCAGTGAGCCAAGATCGAGCCACTGTACTCCAGCTTGGGTGACAGATCGAGGCTCTGTCTCAAAACCAAAAAATAAACCCAAAACACAACATATCAAAATGGATGGATACCGCAGAAGCAGTGACCAGAAGAACAAACACAGCTGTAAATGGCTACACTGAAGAAAAAGATCTCCAATCAGTAACCTCACCTCACGCCTAAGGAACTGGAGAAAAAACAGCCAAGACCGAAGTTGGCAGCAGGGAGGGAAATATGATTAGAGGGAGAAAGATGAAAAACGGAAGAGGCTGAAGAAACAGGACAGATACTGCATACTCCACCTACATGAAGGATTTAAGTAGGCAGACTCCCAGACTTGAGGTGGAGTGCGGCTACCAGGGGCTGCAGGGAGGGAGTGGGGAGCTGGCGACCGACACGCACGGGGTTCTGGTGGTGACGTGAACAGGCTCCAGGCTCTGCTGTCCAGCACTGCTCCTGTGTCAGCACTCACGTGCTGCACACTTCCTGTGCTCTCAGACAGCTAGGAGGATCTATCTCTTACCACAATAAAATCATTTTTAAAAACCTGCTCTGAAGAATTACATGCCAAAATTGCCTACATGACATGGATAACCCACAGGGCACAAAAATTCCTAGAAACACAAATTACCAAAACTGACTCAAGAACAACAGAAAACCTAAATTGATCTAAGAGAAGCAAGGAGATTGAGCAGTAATAAAAAATTTTCCAACAAAGAAAAGTTCAGGACCAGGTGGCTTCACTGGTGAATTCTATCGAACATTTTAAGAAGTAATAGCAATCCTTCTCAAACTTTGAAGAAAAAAATGGAAGATGTGGGAATACCTCCTAGCTCACTCTATGAGGCCAGTACTGCCTTGACATCAAAGCCAAACAAACACTAAAGAAAAAACAAAGCAAAACTATGAGCTAGTATCCCTTACAAATACAGACGCAAAAATCCTCAATATATTAGCAAAATTCAGCATATTAAAATAATTATACAGCATATGGCCGGGCGCGGTGGCTCATGCCTGTAATCCCAGCACTTTGGGAGGCTGAGAGGCAGGCGAATAACCTGTGGTCAGGAGTTTGAAATCAGCCTGACCAACATGGAGAAACTCCCGTCTTTACTAAAAATATAAAAATTAGCCAGGTGTGGTGGTGGGCGCCTGTAATCCCAGCAACTCGGGAGGCTGAGGCAGGAGAATCGCTTGGACCTGGGAGGTGGAGGTTGCAGTGAACCAAGATCGCGTCACTGCACTCCAGCCTGGGCAATGAGAGTGAAACTCCATCTCAAAAATTAAAAAAAAAATTATACAGCATATTAGAAGGACCAACTAAAATGTATCCCCAGAATGCAAGGAGATATGAATGAAATAACATGACCAGTTTCATTGCAGGAAAAAGCACTGATAAAATACAATAGGCTTTTATGGTAAAAGCACTCTAAAAACTTCAGCATCATAAAAGTTATATATAA